CGTCAAATTGAAAATACACCTTGCAGTAGACTTCGTATCGCTTGATCACTGTAGCTGTGCAAAAAGCCTTAAGTGTTCCAGTCATTTTCCTCAGTAGTAGCTCTCTTTAACATCCTCGTAAAAGGTGTGTTATACTTTCGTTAAGGGTTTAAAGTTTGAATCTGTACCCTAGACTACATCGTACGACATAAACTATGAGATCGGATCAAAAACGATGGTTTCAGATGCAAGCCCAGTTGACAACGTGCGCCTCATTAGTGGAAACGCCTCAAATTCAGTTCGAACAAGGTCTCGAAGATGTTGAAGTGTCATATGGAGATACAGTGACACTGATGTGTAGTATTTACGGAGCACCACAGGTAAGTGTACCGAGCTGGATTAGAAAGTAACAAAAAATAAAGAATCAAGATTTTGAATACATATCTTTTTCTCCAATTCTGAGCGGACTGCGAAAAAGTCCGTCTCTTCTTTCAAATTACGCAAGCTCCTTGATATTCTAGGCTGCCATCACATGGTTACATCGTGGACGAGTTGTGGCCGCATACCCAGCGCCAACAGTAGAATCCGCTCTACATAGTACACGCATCGCAAGTGGCCTCATTGAAACTAGTAAGTTTCGAACATAGTCATCTTGATCACCGATAATGTTGATTACCACCATCACCGTTACCTGAGTTTGATCCTTCATAGGATACACAATTCCTTGCGTAAATCGCAAAACTCTTGGAGAATACACCTGCCAAGCAACCTCACCATGTGGAGAAGTGATTTCATCCCAAGCTGTGGTCTCACTGTCGAATGCGGCTCGAGGTACGGAGTTCTTTCGAATGTGGGACATTGTTTGGCAAAATGTGTGATATCCCTGAAAGTCTCTTTCTAGGATAATTAATTATATCACTTTGAAAAGAATTGACGCAACTGCCAGCCAAAAACATGTCACTTAGCGTATTTATTTGGATATTCTGAGCCTATCCACGCTGCCCTCACCCACGCAGTTGTACGCCAACATCTAGCACTCAAAACAAAATTATACGCATGATTTTTGAGGTGGAACGCGTATCCTTTCGCAGTCTATCCAAAAAACACAGGTTCCTTATACACATCGGCGTACATGAGCGGGTTCACATTCCAATGTAAACAATGATTTAAGTAAATTAATTCATCCATGTAAATTCAATGATTCCAAGAGGGGGCGATTACCAATATAACGTGAACTATAGTAATACCCTGCTCTATAGTAATTTTGTCCACTTACGTATTACTTTTTTCCATACACTGTCTTCTTCGTTCGCTTGCTCAGAATCTATGTTGTTCCTCGATTTTTATCTCTGCTGACGCTATGCAAACAGATTCTGACGTAGACATTCATTAAATTGGGGCCCTGCAATTCACTTTGATCAACGATTGTGAGCTATGAAACCTCATTACGCGCTATATGGGAGCGCCTTGACTTGGTCAGAGTTGTTGTCTTCTTACAACCACCAAACCATCCAAAAAAGAGTGTATCTGCAAGTATATCTAGCAGGCAGAAA